TTCCCAACATTGTCATATCTATTCCAGTGTTTTAGGAACAAGGCTACATCAACTTATTATCATTGGCCTAAGCTCACATTTTTGTTCTGCCGGGTTAATGTGTTTCCCACAGTCAAAAACTTGAATGCATTCATTGCTTTCATCTACCACTACCACTAGGCCAGCCATTTCCACTTGCGCAAGGCTCCAAATTTAGTCCTACCTCAACTTAACATTGGACAGGTCTTGTGTTCCGTATCTTCGTACCCTAATTTTCGTGATTGAAACTTTGATTACACAAGCAAATCAAACGATTTAAAATCCCCAGCAAACTGTTTCTAAATGATTTTGTGCAGATGAAGTTCATGCATTCATACAACATGCCACAGACAGAAAGACTTAGAAGGCTTTCATCAGGTAAGTTTTCGCAGTACCAATGAAAAAGATAACTACACCTTAAGTCAAATGAGATGCCACTTCTTTTTTCTACAAACTTAATGATCGGCACACGAGCCTTTGCAATGACCTGAAAGGCAAGAGAAAAAAATAATAGATTAGAAGTTGCCTATTTATATGTTTCATTTTGATATATGATTTATACATCAAAGGAGCAATACCAGTATCTTCTTTGCAATTCCTCTTTGAGACAAAGCTCTGGAAAGAGCATGTAAACCAGTTTGTGGACTCACAACATGCGAGTTCAAAATTACAACCTAAGATTAACATAACAGTTATTTAATCAGTTTATTCATAGTAACTGGCCGTAGTAGAAAATGAACACAGCTTGTAAGTGACTTTTCACACTCCATACATCAACATCGCTTGTTGGAAGATAAAGACCAGTCCTGAAAGACCCAAAAACTTCCACCTACAAAACAACAGCAGCAACCATCAGACCTTCATAGCAAAGCCAACCCAAGTAGAGGAACTAGTATTTTCTTTTTATAGTGAGCTTTGCCTCAACAGTGATGAGTATATGACTAGGAAATCAAAATTGCATCCTAAAATTTTGTGCTATAGTCTTCAGACAAGTTCGCTACAGACTTTTAGACAACTGAGCCACCATATTCCTAGTCAATTGAACATATACATATGTAATCTATATCCAACTGCATCTTTTCAGGCGTGCACTAACAGTCTAGCACGAAGAGCCACTAGTCACCTTGCAACGAGGCCATATATATTTTATAACATCACAAACACTTTCCACTGCTGCTCTACGTGAAGCTTGTTCTTCAAGAGTAGGGGACAAGAAATCACAGAAATCCACTATCTCTGCAACATCCACACCATTGGCCCAGGTTAGTGAACACCATCGCTAAACATCAGTCGAAAAGAAAGTGAGACCATAAACATCATGAAGTTACTTCCTCCAATTTCTAGTTAAAAACTATGCAGCATCAGAAAAACATTAGAAACCAAGAATGAAGTTAACAGCGGTAGTAAAATATCTCACATTGAGTCCAAAACACGGACATGCAGTGAACTCACAACGCCATTAGGTACAATTGCATTTAATATAATGAAACTATTGTTTTATCCTTCAATGTCCTCTAGAAAAGTGAAGAATGGAGTGAATCTCAGAAGAAAGAATGAGGTTAGTATTGCCAACTCTTGTAACAGAGCATTAAAATGCTCAATTACTGGAAGTATTTGAAGAAAGTTGAACACGTTGTAGTTAGTAGTTATCAACAAGCATGAGTGCTAGCAATTTTAAGCAAGAACCAATGCGAAACATTGCCACCCTGATTGAATAAATGTCATATTCAACCAAAAGCTTCAAAATCAGACAAAAAGAATCAAACTTTTCATGCAACTAAATGAAATGTAGAAAAACAAGACCCTTCAGAATCAGACAAAAAGAATCAAACTTTTCATGCAACTAAATGAAATGTAGAAAAACTAGTTCTCAGTATCACATCTAACCCGATAACACAAACCCTTCAGGGGAAACTCAAACAAAAACCAATGCAGCATTCACCTTTATGCAGCTGCAACAAGGGACTCTTAAACCTGCCATTCCCACTAAACCATCCACTCTCCAGCCTGGGCTCCGTCTCACCCACCGGCTCAGCAGTTCCAGTTACCACAGGACTGGTCGACTCAGCTTCTCCACTCGGGGTCCTGAACTCTGCGTCCTCAACTTCATCGTCGCAAACATCAAGAGAAAAGAACTCGGGAGCCGCCGACGTCACCACGCATGCAGAAGGAACTTCGTCGGGGGCTACTTCATTGCGGAGCACTGTATAAGGCTCGGGAGATTGAGGCGGCACGGGGCCTTCGGTGGTAGGGGTAGATGGTGGTGTTGGGGCGGAAGAAGAAAGGGGAAGAATGGCTAGGGTTTCATACACAGGGACCGGCATTCCGGCAGGTGAATCCATCGGAGAAAATTGACGATTGCCCACGCACCGTCCCGGTAATCTACTTCCACAACTTAAGTCAATTAGCTTGCGCAAGTTGTGTTGAATGTCAAGTAGATCAATTTATCGCACCGCCGTGGTGGACAGACAGTTTCCCCCAATCTCTAGGGTTGGAGGTTTAAGTTGCTGCGGTCATTAATCTTCCCTTCTGCGGTTTTTCCCTCGTCAGGAATCAGGATAGTTTGATAATGTACGAGTAATTACATAAATGGGCACTAAAAAAATTGTTATGAGAAAATATTGTATTGATGCCTACATGTAAAAAAATTTGGTGTATTGTAGTTTACATCTTTTGATTTCTATGTATTTATTGTAGTATTTATGTAAGTTATATTAATTTTTTGGATGAAATGTCACTATTACCCATTGTTTTTAATATGAAAAACAATACACGTAAAAAGGTAAGGACATAGTTGGAAAAAAAACCCTACAAAGTATGAAGCCCTATCGAAAAGTGAATGTCACAAGATAGCAAGATAATCTCCACATGTTTGATCTTCACAGTTCAAGGAGTAAGGACGAGCTAGCCATCGCCTAATCTCGGTGATGCAAGCGTAATGTGGGTGATGATGGGTGGCCATCTCAATGAGATCTTTCGCCATTGTTGTGTCTATTTGGAGAAGGAACTTCCTAGCCCCATTGCCTATAATAAGTTTCAAACCCTGCACAATTCTAGTCAACTCTACATGGGTGATCGAATCCCCCGCCAAAGTTCACTAAGAAAGCTTTGATGAAGCGACGTTTTCCCCAAACCAAGTGGTCAGCTGGCGTCTTGAAGTAGAGCGAATAACCGATCATTCGATATTGAGGCATATCCAATCCTCCTCTGTTGGTTGCTAGCTAATGAATCGTCTTTCTTGGAGTCCCTCATCTCTAAAAGATTATCCTTCTTCATGAAAGCCGCAATAATCTGCTACTTAAGCTGAATGGTATGAGCAAGGATATGTGTAGGTCTTCTCAACTCACCTTGGAACAAGTGACTATTCTTATTCTTCCACAATAGCCAACATGCGCCTGCAAAGAGAGTAGCATCAGTCTCCTTTCTTCTATCTGATGTGTAGTAATGGATCACTGAGTTTGTTGTTCGAAACAACACTCGCTAGGTTCGCCTTTAATATCGGAAAACGTGCAACACACTCTCTGCTCCACTTCCACAAATCTTGCAATCGTCGTTCTTCGTCAAGTGTCCCTGTTTCCTTTCGGTGTTGGTGAGGAGGCGCTCGTGAGTGACTAGCGAGAGAATGTCCAAACTCTCTACATTATACGTACCCTCCAAATTGACCTCCAGATAGAATCGAACGTCGAGGAGACTCCGATATGGTCGGTGAGAGCATACACTATATTGATAGAGAATTGTCTGTTGGCCATCAATCTCCAGAAGCGCACATCCTCCTCGTGCTCCAACAGGATTGGGTGAAGCTTCACTTGTGCAACAACATCCGCAGGTAAGTAAGCCTTCAAAATTTCAGAATTTCACCTACCATTCAAAACAAACTCTGACCCGGAAGGCTAAGGAATTCACGGGGGATGTCCAGGGCGAGTGCTTTCAGTGACTCGTCATCGGTAAGCCGGCGGTCACCCCAAAATCGTATTGTTCTCCCATTTTTATGTTCCAAGTTGTTCCTTCTTCAAGGAGTTGCCACACGCACAACACTTACGTCACAAATTAGAGATGCGACCTCGAGCTCGCGGTTCGAGACCCTCTGGAGTCTGTTTTAAGCACTTTTAGCGTATCACTAGAGCATAGATGTCGTTTGGTTGGTTGAGAAGTCTTCATGCCACATTCATCATATACAACTCATTGGTACAAGCCGAGTCCATAAAACTCAATCCTCCTTCTTTCTTCTGCCGACATACAGTTTACCCAATCAGCCAAGCGGATCTTTCTTCCGCTTTATGTGCTTCCCCATATAAATCCTCGGATTTTATTGTCGATATAGTCGTGGACACTCGTTGGGAGGAAGGAGGTTTGCATGGTATAAGCTGGGAGAGAGGAGAGGATGGAGTGCGCAAGTGTAACACGCACCGCAATAGACATGGTGGTTGCTTTGCAACCTGCAAGACGAGCATCAATACGAATCAATCAGGTTAGTACCAGTAGCCTTGGAGACTCTGTTGTGGATGATTGGGACTCCCATATATCTCCCCAAGTTCGAAGTTTGAGGAATCCCCATAGTTGCAGTCAACAGCTTTCGCTGCTGATGGGGGACATTGGCCGAGAAAAGTCCTTAGACTTCGGTTTGATGATGTTCTCCTCCGATGCGGCGCCAAAAATCTCGAAGCTTTGGTTGATGATGTTGGTGCCTAATTTACTACAAATTCTCTAATTTATAAGAAATTTATTGTAAAAATTCCATCCAAATTTACTTGCATTGCAAGTTGGCTTTTTCTTTTTTACTTATGAAGTGCCCAAATTTAAATTTGGAATCTTTCACCGTAAAGGGGAAAAAAACTCTCTCCGTCTTAGTTCCCGACCGACTCCACCAGCGGCGGGCGTCCCAGTTCGGAAGCAGCGCCGGCGGGGGCTGTCTCCCTCTTCCGTCTCCAGGTGAATCATCCCCTGTTCCCCTGTTCTATTTATACAGGATCTCTTCAGTCTATATGGAATCTGAATTCATTACCAGGAGCATGCCTAAACTTCCTCCAAATTCTCCTACTCTCCTCTGTCTGCCTACTTGTTGGAAACAAGCTGCTCCCTTTTCCTTGCCTGGAGCTCAGCGTTCAACTTCCTGGCTACCTTCTTTCTGTGTGAAAGTTCGCGGTTCAGCTACTTCCACTGCTACTGAACTACAACCCACGGGTCATTTCTACGACAATCGTTCGCCAGGAGGATGCGGCGAGGCAAATAAGAATGTACCCGGGGATTTGTCAAACAAGGTATCAAAGAGGCAGGGGAAGATTGGTTTTCGAAAAGAGAGGCTAAAGCAGTATTCAGCTATGCTTCGCGAATGTGCTTCTAAAGTGGCGCTAAACGAGGGGAGGGCAGTTCATGGGAATCTCATTAGGAATGGGGTGGTGCCGGATTCTCATTTATGGGTTTCTTTAACCAGTTTTTATGCTAAGTGCGGGCGTCTAGAGTTTGCACGCAAAGTGCTTGATGAAACGCCTGAACGTGATGTTGTGTCGTGGACGGCTTTAATTTCCGGGTTTGTCAGCGAAGGGTGTGGGGATGATGCTGTTGCCCTCTATTGTGTAATGAGAAACGAAGACGTGAGGCCGAATGAATATGTGTTGGCTACTACACTGAAAGCGTGCTCTCTCAGCTTGGATGTGGAGCTTGGTAGGCAAGTACATGCCGAGGCAGTAAAGGCCGGGTTGTTAACCGACTTGTTTGTTGCCTCTGGTCTTGTGGATCTTTATGCTAAATGTAAGGAGATAGAACTTGCAGATTCAGTGTTCTTTAGCATGCCTGAGAGGAACGAGGTCTTGTGGAACGTGTTGCTGAATGGTTATGCTCAACTTGGCAATGGGAAAGCTGTTTTGAAGTTGTTTTCCCTGATGGTTGAGTGGGAACATAAGTTGAACCGGTTTACTTTGTCAACTGTGTTAAAGGGTTGTGCGAAATCCGGGCATTTGAAAGAAGGCAAGCTTTTGCATTCTGTTGCAATCAAGACTGGGCAAGAAGTTGACGAATTTGTGGCGTCTTGTTTGGTTGATATGTATTCCAAGTGTGGAATGACAGGCTATGCATTACAAGTCTTCAAAAGGATAAAAGATCCTGATCTTGTAACCTGGAGTGCAATGATTTCTGGTCTTGATCAGCAAGGGTGTAGCCATGATGCAGCTGAGCTATACAAGGCAATGGTACTTGCAGGAGTTAGACCTAATCAATATATCTTTAGCAGCCTTGTTAGTGCTGCTACAAGTATGGGGGATCTGCGCTTTGGCAAAACGATTCATGCATATATATCTAAATATGAAATGGAGGATGATATGTTAGTCAGCAATGCGCTGATCATGATGTATATGAAGCATGGACAGTTACAAGATGGTATTCAGGTTTTTAATTCAATGCCAGAGCAGGACACAGCATCTTGGAGCTACCTTTTATCTGGATTTTGTGACTCTAACACGTGTGAGGAAGCACCAAGGATCTTCTACCAGATGCTTGTGGAGGGCTTCAATCCCAACATGTATACTTTCATAGACATCTTAAGGTCATGTTCTAGCCTCTCAGATGTACATTTCGGTAGGCAAGTGCATACTCACATCATTAAGAACTGCAATGACAGTAATGATTTTGTCAGAACTGCTCTTATTGATATGTATGCGAAAGGGAGATGTATAGAAGATGCAGTAGCAGTGTTCAACAGATTGGTTGATCGAGACCTTTTTACATGGACAACTATGATTGATGGTTATGCAAAAACAAATCAACCAGAAATGGCTTTGAAACATTTTGTTGATATGCAAAGTGAAGGGGTAAAGCCCAATGAGTTCACTATTGCCAGCTGTTTAAATGCATGCTCCCATATGGCAACCCTGGAAGGAGGGCAGCAGCTACATTCTATGGTTGTCAAAGCTGGTCACACGGGTGACATTATTGTGGCCACTGCAATCACTGATATGTACGGAAAATGTGGATGCTTGGAAGATGCTGAGGCAAATTTCAAATATATGGTTTTGAGAGATGCAGTCTCTTGGAACACAATTATTGCTGTTTATGCATACCACAGCCAAGGGGAAAATGCTCTTCAAGCCTATAGAATGATGATAGAGAAAGGATTTTTACCTGATGAAGCGACTTTCTTAAGCATCCTATCCGTGTGCAGCAACATGGGTTTAGTTGAGGAAGGAAAGAAGCACTTTGAGTCAATGAGCAAAGTTTATGGGATTACACCTACGCTTGAGCATTATGCATGCGTGGTCAATATTCTTAGTCGGGCTGGTCAGTTTGATGAGGTTGAAGCCTTTATTAAGGAGCAAAAATTAAGCACACATGCCTTAATTTGGGAGACTGTGCTTGGAGCTTGTAAATTGCATGGAAATCTTGACCTTGGTGAAACTGCTGCTAGGAAACTGTTTGAACTCCAACCCAAGGAGGACTCAGCTTACATATTTCTATCGAACATTTTTGCTTCTAAAGGTAGGTGGGACGACGTCCAGAAGATCAGAGTATTGATGTCGGAGGAAGGCATTAAGAAGGAACCTGGTTGTAGCTGGGTTGGTGTTGATGGTCAAGTACATGTCTTTGTTTCTCAAGATGGTTCTCATCCCAAGACAGAACAAATCTACGCTAAGTTGCAGGATTTGAAGCAAAGGCTGTCATTCAGTGGTTATATACCAAAAACAGAAAATGTGCTTCATAACATCAGCAGCAGAGAGAAAATTGAGCATCTCTGGCATCACAGTGAGAGACTGGCTCTCGGTTTGGCCCTCATAAGTGCCAGCCCTGGTATGCCTATACGTATTTTTAAGAATCTGCGGATATGCGAGGATTGCCATGAAGTTATGAAGGTTATCTCGTATGTTACAAGTCGAGAAATAGTAATCCGCGACTTTAAGCGCTTCCATCATTTTAAGTTGGGTTCTTGCTCTTGCCAAGACAGTTGGTGACTCTGAATGCAGCCAAAGTGCTTATTTGTTGTAATGATCGATGTGAATATCTTTGCAATAATATAATTTATAGACCTCATGGTACTGCTAACTGCTAGGGGATTGACTTTGTACATTTCAGAAGTCATTTTCTTCTTTTGTAAAAAGAACACCAAAGAACTGTTCTTTTACTCGTGTTGGCATTTCAGTATTTTCAGTTAATGCTCAGGATCGCTGAACCACAGGAAATTCTGAGTTTAGTATATAGGATCAACCAAATAGGTTTGGTCGGCTTTGTATTGGAATTTGGAGGTATTCTATGTACATTCATTCCTTACATTTACTTATTCTGGTCCAGGAGAAGACAAACTGTTGTAGCAATGGGGATATTGCAGGCAGGTCATCATGTAGAAGAACTGATCTAGCATTTTGACATTGAATTGAACAACTGCGGCAACCTCTGAACAGATTCTATGTTCCGAATATTTTGCAACTTGATTGAAGTCTACGTCTGACGACTTACCAGAGCAGAGTTTTTGGAAGCAATAGATCGATGGAACACTTGCATACGAGTGTATACTATCAGCAAAGGAGGCAAAAATTGGCGACTTCAGGTCTTTTGGCTGTGTAGTAATGTGCACAGGGGTTTTCTTGCCTTCGTATGTGCTACAGTGTTGTTTATTTGCATAACATTTATGCAGTGAAGAGAATACGATTGTAAATCCTTACCGCACCAATATTTTGTAATGACAACAGAACACATTGTTCAAATAATAAAATCAGAATACACTCTTTCACTATGCTACAAAGGTTAAAAGGTTGCCTCATTTAGCAGCTGATCAGGCAGACAAAATGTCATCTCCAATTGACTCGGAATAAAAATGTGATTGCACTACATTCACGAATGTGATTGACTCAGTCCTCTTCTCCCAATGCCAAAAACTCATTAATAAGTCAGGCATCCTCGTCACTGGTAGGGTTCTCTACTTCACTCTCACTGCTTGAACCATCATCACTGAGCACTGCATCTGAATCAGAAGTACCATCAGATAGCTCTTCTGCAGCAACAAGTTTACTTCTTTTCTTCTTGTTCTTCCCCTCACTTCGGCCTTCTTTCCGTTTCTTACCTTCTTCTCTTTCCAACACTGACATCGAGTGTGCAGCAGACATGAAGGCAGCCGTCATTGATACATTGTTCACCTCTTCGTCTTTTTCTTCATCATAATCTTCTCCTTTTTCTCCCTTGTTATCAATGTAGATCGGAAGATCGGAATCCACTATATTTCCCTCCGGTTCGACATTCTCAGCTTTGGAAGAAGAATCAAGCGCAAGTTTGACACGAGTCCGTGAGATGCTATCGTCATATATTCTTATGCCTTGACCCTCAAGGGAGAACAACCATTCTGGGGAGAAAAGGATAACAATTCATCTCCTTCAGTCTCACAGTAAAGAGAGAAAAATGCAGAGACAGACAGATAGAAACACTTACTTATGAGAGCCTTAGGAGAGGAAACATGCAACCTGCCTGCTTCTTCCCCCATGCCAATCTGGCTTGTGACAAATTTGGCTATTTGCAATGGTAATGGAGAACCAGCGAAGGAACTGGAATAGGAAATGGCCCTCTTATGGTTCCCTTCTTTCCTAAAACAAGTAAGTCAGAGATTGATGAGATGCTGCAGAAGGACATTTTCTAGGTTCCCTTTCAGTAAAAAACCTATCGTCCACTTACCTGAAAAATTCTGTGGCCTCAAGATAGAGGACCAGCCGCTTCAAGGCAATGCTTATGAAATTCTCTGCAGGCAGATCAACTGCAGTACGAGGATTGAGGGAAGTGTACTCTACCAATATGACAGCATCATACAAAGTAGTTCTCAGCAAGATCTCCTCTTCAGAACTCTGCGAATTGTAGATAGTGTGAGTTAGTAACCACATGGTAATGGACTAATGGTTAAATAAAAAGAAAACAGACTTCTTCAGCAACAAAGCGAACCGATGAACAGATGCAACTTACCAGCAGTGAAGCGACCGGTAATCTCGGCTCTAGCAGCATCCTCAACAGAATATCTAGAATGACAAGAGTTTAAGACACAACTGTAAGGAAGAGCCCATAGGAAATGGAACTATAGAACATAACTTCCAAAATTATCCAGCCAGTTAACTGCATCCTCAATCACGAAAGCAGTTTTTATATGACCAGAAATGTATACACCCAAATTAGAGAAGTACAGGCAGAACAATGCTTCAACCATAATTCAGGAGTAATAGTCCAAGTCCAGCAGAACACTTACCAAAAAAAGAAACGCTCCCAAAGCCAGTAATTGACCCGACAATCCAACCCTTCAAATCCTTCTCCATCTCCACTCCTCTGTTCCCAACCCGTAAATCGACGCAAAGCTTCAACAGGAATAACTCCGCAGTAACAGCTCCAGCCAACTGCTCCACACTAAACCCACCAGCACCAATCACTCTGCGCAATTCATCATTCAGAAGCGGCAAAAACGACGACACCTCTTCCTTCCCTTCCATCCACACACCGACCAGATCCGCAAACTTTACAATCAAGCTCGAATCCTTCTCTTCACTCGAAGCCCCCGAACACAAACCGACATAACCGAGAACAGACCCAATCAAAGACTGAACCTTTTTAACCAGTTTCTTCACTCTCTTGGCCCCTAAATCTCCGCTTAATACTTCTTGAACCAATTTATACAGCTCGAAGACAACCGGAGCCAGCAGCGCGATGCTTGTCGAGCCACTGCAAGGTGCGGAACAACCCGAGACGAGCTGAAAGAGTTGTTTCACGGCTGCGAGTCGATCGGAAGAACCCTCATTTCCCGTCTTCAGGGAGCGGAAGGATAGAGCTGAGTAGAACCAAATGGCTTCCAGAGGTGGGTCGCGCTTCGATTGCATTAGCTCGTAGAAAACTTGGATAAACTGAGAGAAATTTGGGGTTTCTTTGCGAATTTCATCGACGACATCTTTTGCTGATTGGTTCAGCTTTTCGAAATAGTTTTCCCCCATAAGAGGAATAGGGTACACGAGCTCCATATCACACGACGCCATGGCCGTTTGCCAGAGAATTGGGGGTAGGGAAAGCAGTGGAGCGGACAGCGGAGGACTGAAGAAGTCAAGAAACCACAAAACCCTAAACCAGGGTTTTGAAGGTTTTGCTTATGCCGCCAGTCGGGAAAACGACATCGTTTGGTCTAGGTTTTCTGTCTAAAATTGAGGGAACTAAATTATACATTCATTTAAAGTAAAAGTACTAAAATAGCAGTTAGTCAACGTTATAGGGACTAATGTAAGATTTTCCCGAACGAATTAAAAAATAACCCGGGTATTTAGTATTTACGTGTTTTCTTGCAGCTGATTGGCTGCAAGATCTGGGCCCCACTTAACGGCCATCGAACAGCCAATCAGAATCGAGCGAACACGTCTCCCCATCTCACTCTCTCCAACTTTCAAAGTTTTCAATTTGATTTTGAACTGAACTGAAGCACGCCAACAGACCAAACTGGGAAAAAGCTGAACGAAGGATCAAATCTTCGATACATAAAGAAACCTTCTTCGGCAGTCTCGTGCAAAGATTCGAACTTTCCCGCGGCCGGAGATCAGGGTTAGTAGGCGTTCTCTGAGCGGATCCACAATGGGGCGGCGGACGATGGCGGTCCTGACGGCGGTGGTGATGCTGGTTTTGTTGGTTCCGGAGTCGATCTGTGCGAAGAAAGTCGAAACAGCTGCGAGGAAAGAGGACGTTAAGTACATCAAATGCCAAGTCTGTGAGAGGATTGCGACGCAATTGCATCAGCAGGTTCAGAAGAAGCAAGCACAGATCTCACCCAAGAAGGTGATTTTGATTTGGAAAACTGGGGGTTTGGTGGGTTTAAGAGGAATTGCGAGATTATACCCTTTTTGGGCTTACGTGTTTGTTTTTTTTTTTTGGTTATTTCTAGATCTCTGAGTACCAAATCATTGAGATTGCGGAGAATGTGTGCAATTTGAAGAAGGAAGAGGCTGATTGGATCACCAGGATTGATATCGTGGAGAAAGGGGACAGGTTGGAGGTAACTTTGGAAAAATACTTTTACTTGAGCTTCATCTTATTGGGTTTAGAGTTTAGTTTTAGTTGATCATTTAATTGGTAATTGACTAATTGTTGGTATGTTGTTATATTAGCTGGTAGAGCAAGAAGAGGAAGGAATGTGCAATGCGGAATGTAAGACAATTGAAAAGGCCTGCCAAGAGGTGAGAGCTTTTCCCTTCTGCGGTTCAGGAGATGGAAAAGAGAAACTCTCTGTAGCCGTTGTACCGTGGTTCGGTTCTGAGAATACATTAAATATGTTGCAGGTTATGGGGTATTCTGATACTGATGTTGCTGAGTACATGTATAGTTCCAAGCCTCAGCTTGATCAGTTGGTAAACCATCTCTGCAAGGACCTGTCTGGAGCTTGCAGTAAGAAGCCACCTCCAGTTCCTAAGGTATTCAATTCAGAGTTTATATCCCATGTTATGAGGTGGCTAAATCCAATGATTGGTTTTCCATAGTACAAAGCGAACACAATCTATATGCTAGGGATCTGTCTTTGCTGACTAGAATGGCCCAGTTAGTGTGTAGTGCCAAACAGTATTAGAAGGTACTGATGTTACTGCAGAATAGTCGTTATGGCATGTTTGTGCTCACTGTTTATAGTTGAGAGGCGAGAATCTCTTCGGTTTTTAGCTGTGCTTTCGAGCTATCAGATGCCTGATTAAGCCTTTTCTTTGCATTTCCCCCCCTCGATGTGTTTCAGAATAGGATTCCGGGAGAGGCATTTGCGCTAAAGCCATCTAAGCAGGCTGAAATGGACAAGCTCATGAGATCAATGGAGGTACTCATTTGAATTCTTTGCTTGAACTGCAAGCTACTACTTGGTTCACTCTGTTTGTCTAAACTCTAGAATGTGTTCTCCTGTTTTGCATTCTCCAGGGCATGCCTGGAGCACCTGGCATGAAAATGTACTCGAGGGAGGAATTGATGAACAATATGAACATCGGTAATGAGGATGGCGATAACGAGGATGATGATGAAGATGAGGAGCAATCAAAAAGTTTCCCAAAGAATCTGGTAACAATGCCACGATGAGTTCTCGCATAAGTTCTGGTAATTTTCTTCACCTCTGGCAGCCTTGCGTTTTAACCTGCGCGAACAACTTTAATTTTTTCGCAGGGTAACATTATGAGGGAGAAAGAGAAGAAGGCAAATGAGGGTGATTGGAAGCAGAAGATCACCAAACAAGTGGCTTCCACTGGCGAGACGTTGAAGAAGCATGCTCAGAGGGTCTCAAATAGAGTCCGGCAGTGGTGGAAAGGAATGAAGGCAGGACAAGCAAAGAAGAAGACTTCCAAAGCTGGCAAGTCTGAGCTTTAGGACTCCTCGGAGAAGATATAGATGTAGATCAGGGGGAGCGGATCAAATCTAATTTTGCCTCTACACTAGCTTTTCTTGCATTACCATGCGAGAGCTGTAATGTTGATTGCAGGAATACCACCTTTAGTCGTCGGTTTATCGAGCAGTTGCTTTACACGAACTTACTGTCATCCATTTTTGTAACCAAATCAGAGCTAATCATAACAAACTTAGTGTACACTACCTCTAGTGCCTTCTCTTAAATGTTAAATCAAAATAGGCAACCAATGCGCAGATAATATTGTTAGACTCTGTCAAGAGTTTGATCTAGGAATCATAAAATTAACAGATCACCTAAAGTCGTCTTTTGAAGTTGCCTACGGTGTAGAAGGAAGTGAATCGACGAACATGCTGGCACACATGAATGAACATCCCAAAGAACGACTAAACCGAAGGACATGTGCCGATAATAACTTCAGTAGCTTACAGTTTCTCACAAGCTGTCAACTAAAGTATCCATAATTGCTTGCCATCACAGATAGATGAAATGGATAAAGTATCTGACTCTGGCTATATTGCAACCTTTCCTTAAAACACAAGTTACAACACAGAACGCCAACAATCACTTGTGAAAGGAAATCACAGATTCACAGACAGCATGTCATTTATTCATGTCATAGTAAACTATATGGTCATCTCTTCATCTTGGAAAATCTTTCATCAGCAGGCGGACATTTCATTGTCCCAAATTACAATGATCCAGACATGAGAGTTGTTCAACAGCAGCTCGGAACTCCCCCACTCGCAGAGGCTTTATTCGTTGGGCGGCCATGGCGCTCCTGCCATAACTGCTTCAATATCCGCAATGGTTCGGGGACACTTAGTCATGTTCTTACAGCCAGTTGCCGTAACGTGCTGCATGCAATCATTCATTAGCAGCAGGAAATATTTATGTAAGGAGAACACTGAATGGCACGTCGTGCAGTCGAGTGCATTTACACGGGGTTGTCAATTTTTACAATTAATGAGTTTATTTTAGCTTCTGCTTAAAAATAAGCAACTTTTCTCTTGAAGTTTTAGAAGTGAGAAACAAAATGTGCTTGAATGTGTTTTAGCCACAACAAACAAACCCTATATATCAGTATCAGATATCTAGTGAGCATTGTTTCTGGAATATGATGCTGTTGGAAAGAGCAAGAAGCAATAGCAAGCTTCGGCAAAAGCTCGAACGGTATTGGGATAAAGAAACGACGTACCAAATCACTTTCGATGCGGACACCACCAAAGCCCTTGAATCTGCCGATGGCTTCAGCGTTGAAGAACTTGGAAGTTTTTGGATTTGCCATTGCTGGGGTCAACAAAGCATCAATGAAATAGCATCCTGGCTCCACTGTGATCACCTGCCGAACAGGACATGAAAGGGTGTATATTAGTGGCATTGTATTTTCCCATAAGCATTAAAGGAAGAATTTCACCCCTTTTTCCTATCTTTCATTTTATCAGAAGTGCGTTAGAGTAGTCTAGAAAAGACGGGTACAGACCATTCCTTCTTTGAGTTCTCTGATGGTACGTAAAGAGCGTAACCCAGGTTCTGTTGGTTTCTTCAGTCCCTACAGAAAGTAAATATGCTACTTTCCTTCAGAACAATTCAAAATGCATTCTACAAATTTATATATGCACAGCGAGAAGGAAGAAGAAGAGACACGGCCAAGAAAACAGGAAAAATAGCTCGGAAATGCAGTGAAATGTACCTTCAAGTAGCCACCCGGATCATGAGTGTCAATTCCAAGGAAATGCCCAAGACCATGAGGCATGAAAACTGCACCAAATCGCTCAGCCATCATATCAGCTACATCACTGTACTCAAGAGAATAAATCACCATTGCATTTATGTAAAATTAGCCCCTTTCCTTGGATGTCTACGTGGAAGCGAAGGAGAGGATTGCCATTAAGAGACCAAACATTTACCCAACAATAATGCCACCCTTTCTCAGCGAATCAAGGACTACTGTCTCTGCCAACCTGTATAAGGAAAAAAGCAGATGGGAACAATGATACACATTAGTTTGGCCCATCAAAGCTTTGCAACAGAAGATACAAATGTCTTCCCAGGCAACTGAACTTCGGATGCGTAAATCTAACCCAGAGGGGATATAGTCTAAAACATATCTTAAGCATCTTGTGCAGGCATGAATAGTAGGATTATTAGTAACTATATATATATATATATATATATAAAAGGGGAAGATTTCCCCCAAATGCTCATGAAATTGGAATCTTTCCAGAGTGACAGGTTTTGTCCATGATGTTTTCAATTAAATAATCAATTGCACCTTCCAAAATAGAAACATTTGAAATTATTCAATGATGCTGTCCCACAAGTGAGCTATTGCTTTGCGGCTAATTCCTTGTAGGTAAAGAAAAGGCATGGTTCATATTTAATGCATGATTAATTGTACAGCTTACTTGTGCATGTCAATCCAGCTGACGCCTGGCTTCATAGCAGAGATGACAGAATCGTGTGCATCAAGGACAGCCTGCAAATAAATGTAACATCTAAAGTATAATTCCTTGAATACATTGACAGTAAACAACAATAGAAATGAACACCAAAACATTCCAATTAACAGGAGAATCCACAAATGTAGGAGTTTTAATTTGTATGAACAGAGCATTAAACGGTGACCCAAGTTGAATCACACTCACATTGTAAATTAAAGACTGATCACTTGTAAACTTGCCATTCACCTGCATGCGAAATTAGAATCATCTTAGAGAAAATTTTAGCAAGAGGAGAAGAAAGTAACCTTCAGCTTTCCCAGCACTATAACTCCATTAACTAAGAAAACTTAGGTAAGATGGAGAACAGACGAATTTTTTCTCAACGTAAACTAGGCAGCCTGAAGGAAGGTGTTTGGAACAATTATGATCGAACTCATAGGCAAGAGAAAATCTACTCACCGGAAACGAACAAGTTATATCAGAACCATAGAATTGGTATTCAGCTCCCATATCAAACAATGCCATATCCCCATCTTGCAAGGTCTGCAAAACGACATTCAAGTTTTGGAAGATGACATGCAAAACATCCAGTCTGAGGTTAATCATTTTACAGACAGCACAGCATTGATTCTGTTTCCAACAACTAATTGATATAAAATATTTTCTAACCCCAACTCTTAACTTTGGACCGAAGCTCTTGTTTGTATCTTTTATCCATAACATGGAATCAACCAGGATTTACATTAAACTCCTTTTTTAGTATTCAAAAGTTTTGATACACTTATCGTCTTGAATTCCAGCTTGCTTAGCAATTAAGATTCAATATGTACATGGCGTTCTCTAAAAGCAATGATTCTTCTTATAATTTGATCTTTAGAAATATGTATAAGGGTAGCACAGATAAACTTCAAAGACAAGGGCAAGCAGTTGATGGGAAAATGAAATATGAGGAAGGAGAGTTGAATTTACTGTACCCTGTCATTTGGGGCTGCTGCATGACCGTAGTGTAGAACAGCACTGCAATTGAGAAAGAAACTAAAGCTGTTAGGAACCAAGAACTGATGAAGTTAAGCTTCGGAACCAATACTTTCAAATACGTACATTATTAGTTATAAGCACAATTTATAGCAAAATTGAGGTTTGCTTCAGCTTCCATTAATAAAGTTTGCCAAAACTAACTCCAAGGCATGCTACCTCTAATAAGTTACCAGCAAATGAACTTGCATCTTACAAAATGATATACAACACTCTACTATTTTAACGATACTCGCATCTTACATAGCTCGGCCCTCATAGATAAGTCAAGTAAGATGTCAATAAGCGTGAGGCAAATTAAAACAACAACAAAGAAAAAACACAAATTAGCTTCAGTCATACACAAAATCCTCAAAAGTACTCACAAATACGAGACTGTCTCACCTGTTTTCACCAGTAGCACAGATGCACGTGTATGAGCAATGCCGACAACCACCATACATGTAGGTGTGGTGTTGAAATGTACTTTCCAACTGATACTCTTTCATTCCAGGTTTAATGTTTCTCATGACCTAGAAGATTTTCCAATATTCGAGACATTATTAAGATAATGAACATCTGCCTTTTGCCGTACTTATCAGTTATATCTAAAAAAATGACTGCAGAATTAGAAATAAGGAACAGGAACTTAGAATGTCACCAGACCACTTTTCCTAAACCGAACATAACATGTCTTTTATGTAAAAATAAAAATAACAGCAAAGATTCTACGCAATATTTTAAAAGCAAAGGGAGCGCCTGCAATCGATCATTGAGAAACACAGGACGAAGGAGGAGAATAACTAAAATGAAATAGGCTACCTGGACGTGAGCCTCAGAGCTGATGTCATTGGCAAACTGAATTACAGCAAGCTCCAGGTCTGACTTGATAACACGACATTCTGTTAAAATAGGATGCAACATGTTCACGTCAGTTTGAAATGTTTCCATTCCCTGCAAAGAAAAATTCACCAAGAGCTCAGACACCCCAGAAGACATGAGTGACAAGCTAAACAATTTACTATTCAATGGAAGAACCTTTCGGTTCAAGTACCTTAAAATCTGCCGGCTTTGAGTAATTGTTGCTGTCAGTGTTGAGTCCATGTAATAGAAACAGCAACGGTTTCTCTATGCCCTTGCTCTGGTCGAGCAGAACTTCTACAATTTCGTCCGTATAGTAGGCCTCGGTAACTAAGTACCTTTCCTACAACAAGAAGAGCAAAAAATCATTTTCTCTAACAAACATCATACATTGACGCACAAATGGAAGAACATCCATAAATGGGTACCTGATAGTAAGATAATGACTTTATTTTCCCCATCCAAACAGCATACTCCGCAGGCAACCTCGGAGCAAAGAGGATCGACTTCCCTGTCGCAATGTCCTGCAGCAGTAGGACGGGAGACAACAAGTGATACCAACAAAGATGAGAATCAACAATTGCCGAAATGGTGCCAGTGGGGAAGCATACTATTCATTTCAAACTTCATTCCAGGGAGACTATCTATCTGCTAGTCATCAGATCTGATGCATAAATGGTAGGATAACAGCAATCAAATTCGTCTTAAGGATAAGGAACTGTGTCATAGAATTCATCGACGTTGGAAAATTTCAGCCATTCCAATTAAGTACACCAAAAGGGATGCAGAGACAATAGTGTTCTTAGCATTTTTCCATGTGTTGCAATTAGAAATCAATTACAGCCGGAAATAAGAATACAGGAGGAACGAAGAACTCACGATTGCCCCATAGAAGCCAGGCTCTACAACTCCAAACAAATAAGCGAAATAACTCTCCTGCCTACAAATTGCACAATAAGTCAATCAGAGATAAGTCCTCCAGTCAAACTAGAACCAAAATAACTGTCCACCGGCGCAAATGAAAGCTCAAAACCGCACCTGAAGAGCTCCAAATGATCGGTGCAGTAGCGAGTCTGCTCGTCACCTCCCTGTCAAATTCAGGGGCAGCTATTCCGTATTAAGAAAAAATGAAGATCATCGTCGATTAAACAAAGTCCAGACGAGCTCGCCGGGATCCGTACCTGAAGAAGGACGAAGCCTTGTAAGGGAAGAGAATTTTCGGCAAGATGATGCCGGATGGATTGGAGGAGCTTCTCGCGGTTGGAGACGTGGAGCTCCATTGGAACTTCGGGAGGAGATAGAGCCGACGCCGCCATCGGGAAAAATGGCGTCTCCAGTCGCCAGCTTCGCGGATTTCCGTCTTTTACTTCAATCGTGTTTGAATATAATTGGTGTTTGGTAGTCGCGTCACTCAACCGGACAAACAACTTTCCGTCTCTTGGACACAGGCCGCTTGATGGGCTTGAAAATTGGGCCTGTCTAAGAAGTCTTGGACTTGAAGTTAATCCTCCAAACAGTCGTCCACTGACCAATTGGCCCAATGGAAGGCTTTTGTTGAGCAACGTTGATCTCGAGCCGTTCCAAGAAGTCTGCTGGCCCAGTATGCCAAGTCCATTTGCGGCCCCTATTGTTATTATGGGCTGAGGTAGAGTGAAGACAAATTTCTAATAAAGATAGTTGTGATGGTTGATCGGCTTGTCCTTTATCCTATGTTCACGAAAGAAAAAAAATTACTATAGTAGTTGCCTCTAATTTGGGTGTAAACAATTGTTGTTTCTTATTGAGTCTCTTTTGTACTTCAAAATTGAACACCTATTTTCCCCTCCTTATTTCATTACCCTCAGATTTTCACTCCTTCCAAATTTTTGTTCTCCTCCCCTATCCCCCCTTTTGTGAACTTAGGGGTCGTTTGGAAGTTGCGATTGTTAGTGTTGTATTTGTTAAATACATGCATTGTCCACAATACAACGTTTGGAAGTGTCCAGTTGCAAAACAATGCATGTATTGTTTTATGTGGGTCCCACCAACAATCAACAAAAATGAGGAATTGTACAATCTCAACTAAAAGTTGAGATTATTGTGATTGTTGGTTTAATAATTGAGCACATTTACTTTTTCCAATTATGTCCATAGTTCTTTTTGTTTTATATTAAAAGTGGAGGACAAATATGACATTTCCTTATAAAGTAACTTTATAACAATCCAGGGGCGGAGCTACAGCATCCTTTGGGGGGGCCCCGGCCCCCCCGAGAATTTTGAAAGTCACGTGTAAAAGTTCGGTATTAGACGTATAAACTAAATGTTATGTATAAAACTAACCAACGTGAAACAAAACAATAAAAGTCTATGTAGTCTAGTGGAATCCCCCCTTGCCCTCTCAACTAGTGGTCAAGGTTTCGATCCTTGTGGGAAGCATGGTATGTTTTTATCACTAGCTTTTTTGGTAATAGTTTATGTTTTGATTCCTACATAGTCAATTTAGTCTATGATTTTCATAATAGTTTATTTGTCATTCAAACTATTTTCAAAATTTCAAGGATAGTTTGAAATATGATGAATATTTTTAGTTATATGGCCTTTAAGTTTTTATTTAACTAAATTTTTTTATAAAATGCTTAAAGTTTCATAGTTGGTTTGTTAATTATTTAATTTTAAACAAGATTTAAGTTTTTATTTAACTAAAAAATTGATCAATGCTTGAACTTTCATATTTCGTTTGTTAATTATTTAACTTTAAATTAGATTGATTAAATTCTTCAATTTTAAGGTTATTTTTGAATATATAATGAATAAATTTGGTAGAATATTAATATTGGTAGACATTCGCCTTTAGTTACTAAAATCGTTTACGCCACAAAATATTGAAATGAGTTAGTAACTTGTATATAGTTTTCTGATTTATTCCAAATTTAATATAAATTTTTTGTGCGCTTTTAATAAAATAAAATGAGTTTTTGTTTAATAGAATTTTAGCTATTTACGGTAAAGTATCAAGAGAACTCCGCCCCCCCCCCCTGAAAGCTAAATCCTAGCTCCGCCCCTGTAACAATCAATTCATAAATTATAATCTCAACAACCAAACAATGTAATTTCAAAATGCATCTATTGTATCAATGCATACATTTATATCATAGTGATTCATAACAATACAACGATTTAACATACGCAACTTCCAAACGACCCCTTAGTTTTTGCACAACCAATAGAATTCACTTTGTGGCCAACCATTTTCTTTTTCATGCCACTACTCGTGGACAGAGGTTAGTCACTATTGACGATGGTGAATGACATGTGTTATACAGTGAATGACATGTGTTATACAAAAACAGAAGAAGATCACGAATGACCAGTGGCGTAGCCAGAATTTCATTCAAGGGGGTGCATTAAAAAAAATAACATAAGCAAATACATTGACAGAAACCAATTTTATCTTCTGACTATCGTTGTCGTACAAAGTTATTGATTTTCTCTAATAATCCGCACGTCATAACCATCTTAATAAACTGTATTAATGTAGATATTAGTAGGTTAAATTAATTTATACAATCAATCATGGTTTGATACTAAAAATATGAGAATTAACAATAAGATTTTGAGTTCATTGTTCATTATTAGTACTACTATTTTTTGTGGTGCTCCAAATCAAGGGTGTGCCATTGCACCACCTAATAAGGGGCTAGCTCCGCCCCTGCGAATGACTACTTACTTATTATAGCAATAAGATCATCAAACCATTTCTAGCCTAGCAGTCACCAAAGAACACCCATTAGAGTTATTGTAACCCACTAGTTCTCGATATAGTATCAGACTCATTTGTTCAAATTCCTCATAAAGTCATAACCCTCAACAGTAACAATTGGTTTAAACACAAGAATGCGATAAAACTATGCAAGTTTGAAGTCCATAACCCGGTCTTCATCTCGATGGCACGTAAAAGAAAGATGCAATAAGATCCATAATTAAACTTCCCTCGCTACATGCTCGATCGAGTTATTGAAACCTACTAGTCACGTTCGAAAGCTGCACATCAACACTATGCATGTTACTGTGGATTCTACTGTCTGTTATTAATGGACACATCTCAACAGACTTATCTGTGAGTATTTATGATAATTAGGTGGGTCATATTCTATACACATGTGTGTTAAACAAAAGGTCACCATTCAACCCAACAGAGGCAAAAACAAAAGGGTACGTAGAAAAACGACCAGACAAAGAACACACTTATGTGGCAAACACTGATTCCAGACTGGAGGGCACAAAAAGCTCAGGATTTCTGGGGGTTTTGTCGATCGATCGATCTCAGATTCTCATTCTTTATCTAACCTCTATAGCTAGAGCAAGAGCTAGAGCTACTTTTGTTTTGTTTTGTTTCCCACATTACTTCTCCTTTTTTTCGGCTTCTTTTTTTCCAATTCAGCCAGTTGTATTGCTATATTGCGTTGTTATAACCTTATTATAGGTGTAATCGATCACCCTTTATTAATTACTGTATGATATGGGTGTTCATTAAAAGGCAGACAAGTCTAGAAAAGATCCCAGTTGATGTTGTTTTCTTTAAGGCTGCGACGACTATATATGGAGTGTTTCTTAATATTCCTGGATTATAGTATGTTCCTGTGTCGGCCCCTAAATAACCTAAATCAGGGCATGACGTTCAACCAAATCTCAAGTCTTATTTGGAAATTGATCACTCTGTGTTCAATCCTTAATTAGTTTTTAAGGCACCGAGATTAGTGTAAGACAAGAAATTAACTAGAATTTGCATAATATATTATGCCAAATTGATGCTATAGTCTGGTAAATCAGTTTGTTTAGCCACGAATTAATGCCTGTTTGTTTGCAAAAGCATTCGTCAGTCAGTAGTTTGCGCGGTTTCATCTTCATGATGATGAGATGCAGCACTTGCAATTTGTTAATGACTTTCCGTATGTAATGCACATGAGTTTCGATGTGGTTTGGATGAAAACTAAACAGAGAAGAATTGAAGAGGAATTTTACAATACTATATAGCATTGGTGCTATAGGTTTTTGCCTTTATGGTACAACTTGAAGTTGTACCTTTAACGTTATGGTACAACTTTAGATTGTACCTATACTTTTTGTACAAATTCTTTTATGGTACAACTTGAACTTGTACTTTTATGTGATGGTACAACTTCAAGTTGTAAAGTTGTACCATAACATAATGGTACAAATTGCTTTATGGTACAACCTAAACTTATACATTTAATGTTATGGTACAACTTCAAGTTGTACATTAAAGCACCAATACTATATAGCATGGTAGAAGTGCTCAAGAATTGAATCATGTTACATGGGGCACTTTGATGAAAACATTGCCTTAAAACCGTTTTATTAAGAATTCTTTCAAACCCAACCTATAAAGAGCTTGTTTCATGGCATATCAAGCTGTTCGAATTGTCAAGCATGAGGCAAAGAGCCATTAACTAATTTGCAGCATCTAAGAAAAACCCTCCCGAATAGATTTGATATCAAACCAGAAACAGATTGAACTATGAACAGAATAGAAATCAAACACAGACACAGGTGTTTACGTGGTATCCCTGGATAACCAGGACTAGTCCACGGAAGAGCTTTGAATGCTCTTCAGGCTACTGATTTTACTGATGTCAGATCACAATAAATGAATGGCGGCTGAAACCCTTTCACCCTATACATATATCGAGACCCCTAGGTTAGACTCATCACTCGTACGTCTAGCCTAGTGCATGGGCTTGCATGGGTACAACGTATGGGCTTTAAGAACTACAGGGCCTCACTACATCATTAACTACACAATAAACCGTAGCCCAAACTAATCATCACTTAACATCCTCCCCCAAATTGATGCCGATCTCGCAGCATCAATTTGTTTCCCAAGTACCAATGTCGGTTCGTTGCAAATGCTTTGGTAAACAGATCAGCAACCTGCTCCTCCGTCTGAAGATGATGTAAACTAATGGTACCATCACGAACAAGATCGTGAATGTAATGCACATGGATCTCTATGTGTTTAGTTCGATCATGCAGGACAGGATTCTCTGCAATCCGGATAGCGCTTGTGTTATCAACGAACAACTCCATAGGTGTGGAACATGTAACACCAAAATCTGACAATAGCCAACGCAGCCAGACCATTTCTGAACCCACTTCCGACATAGCCCGGTATTCAGCTTCAGTAGAGGATTTAGAGACCTTATCCTGCTTCTTGCAACGCCAAGAAATGTATGCTCCTCCAAATTTCACACACCAGCCGGAGGTAGATCGGCGAGTGTCTATGCAGCCAGCAAAATCAGGATCGGAAAAAGCTGAGATCGAGGCCTTACCATGCGCAGGGAATAAAATCCCAACATCCTGGGTACCTTGCAGATAACGCAAAATCCGGT